CAAGCGCGCCCCACGCAGCGGCCGTGCCAGTCCCGCAGCCGGGCGGCTTTGAGCAGCGCTTTCGGGCAGGCAGCTGCGGAGGCATTCAGGGAATGTACAGAGACACTGCCCTTCAACAGGGCTGCAGACCCGCACAGAGATACCCAGCCCTGCCCAGGGGACGAGCAGCTCCGGGATGACTACCAACAGGACCGGTTCTGTTGTTCCTTCATACACACCCAGCGCTGCTTGATTGCTGCTTTTCTATCAATAAAAATTAACTACCTAACCACATCGGTGATCAGTTTTTATAACATTATGAACTGTTTAAATGTCTCATTTCTACTGCATGTCCCTAGAATGTCACATCAAGCCATGGGCTGTTGTTGCCTATAAATGGGAGATGTGTCATCTGAGGGTGCAGACATGATATTGCTGCTTTTGGTAAGTGAAGTATTAGATATTGTTAAGGCAGATGCATTCTAGTGGTGTGGTAGAATGGGAAGGAGCAACAAAGGAAAGGGAAGTGCATGGGGAGAACAGAAAGACTACAGGAGTCAGGAAGAAAGAACTGCTGCTTCCAGAAAAACTGGAACACTAGAACTAGAACACAAAGCTGGCTCTGCTAAGGGCAGTGGCATACATTTCCTCTGAGAAAGTCAAGGCACATTTTTATCCCAGTTCTCATCTTGGATGAGTTACCTTCCACTTAAATTCACATTTAAAGCACACCCAGCCTTACTACCATTTGTTTTCCACAACTTGTAATCCTGTACTACACAAAACAGCAGGCCAAGACCTCTAACTGAAGTGGTGTAAAAAGGAAGCAGCTTTCATGCTCTCGCCCACTATCATCCTCCAAGAAACCAAATAGCTTATTCTCTGATGTTCTTTGTTCTGAGCCACTTAAACTAGAAAACCCAGCATTTTCTTCTGTAAAGTAACCTAATTCACCTCACAGCTTACTGGATGTTCCAGATGGCTTGCCTGGGAGGTGTTTGCGAAAGAAAGCTTGGATCTGCTGCCAAGCATCTATCTGTGCCTCACAGTGTGCCTTGGGCTCCCCTCCCCACTCCACAGGCTTGCCGACTAGCAGGTGCATTGAGGCTGCACACATTGGGAAAAACGGGGGTTCAATGTAGTGTCCTGCTCCAGGATAACAGACTATCTCAGGCTTTTCCTTCCCATGAGCTTGCAAACGTTTGCTCCCCTCGACTGCAAAGAATTCGCTTTTCCAGTTGCGATCATCCTGGCCAACAATGAACAAGAAGCGACACTCGGCCTTCTCCAAAGGGATAAAGCTCTGCTGGTCAGGCCCTTCAAGTGGGTTGTTCAATACATCGATAATATCAGCAATCCCGGACTTGCTGACCTTGATGCGCTTTGTATTGATACCAAGGGGTGGAATGGTGATGTCCTTGTAGCGGAGCACTGCACCCACGTTTGCCACCGAGCCGTTGATAAGGGCAGTGGCTGTGATGCCCTTCAGGAAGGAGGCCATGGAGATGCATAGGTCACCCCCCTTCGAGATTCCAAGCAACCCAATCCCTGGACCTTTAACCTGGAGGTGAGAGAAGAGAAACCACAATGAACCATGTGCATGCCACTTATTTTAACCGCTGCCACATTTGCAGCAGTGTCTGTCCTGAATGTGGACCCCAAGTATAGGCATCTAAGGTCCAGTGTGCAGGGACCATATCTGAGGCACCCTGGGCACTGTTCCATGCTTGATTTATGATCCTAAGCCCTATTGAGACTGCAGCATCATCCTCACAAAGGTTCAGTGCTGAAGTAGAGAGTACAGCTGTGCTTGCAGATGTGCAGTCACAGATTCACTTGTCTTATAAGGCAGTTCAGGGAAGAAGAGGGAAGGGGCAGGGGAGGCCTTTTCTACAAATGCTTTCTTGCAGTACAAAATGCTCAAAGGCAGCAATGACTGACACTGTCTTCAGTATGATAACATATTTCTCATGTTCAAACAAGTTCTTTGGTTCCCCTGTTAAGAAGCTAACATGGAGCACCAGGCTCCACATCAGTTGCTCTCTTGCTTCTCTAGTATACCTGGTGTCTAACTCACAGGGAGTATTCTGAGGTAGCTTACTCATTAAAATGTATCTTAAAACAGTAACCTATTAAAACCATTTTTATAAGAGAACTGTACAGTCCTCTGGAGTCAATCTAGAATAGGTTACCTTCATTGTCTCTTATACAAGGCAAATTAACCAGAACAGGAAAGTTAAATAACCCTACAGGGTGCTGAAATACTATAAGGATATTGGAAGAAGGTTAGCTGCTATCACAACTGCTTTGATATCCAAAGACCCTAAGCGGCAAAAAGGCTTTGAGTCAGCATCTAAATTTAATACCTCTTGTATCTTATCACCAGTGTAATAGGCTCCAAACCCACTGATTTTGAAACATGGAAAGGGGGAAATTAGAAAATATGGCTGAAATTTTGCAACACTTTAAAAACACGGTGAGGGTATCAGTAGTAATGGGAGGCAATAGTGCTGCTCTCAGGGACAAAAAAAAAAGCAGGAGGAAGCAATTTTCAGAGGTTTTTTTAGGCAGACAGGTGGCATGAGCAGTTAAGGTTAAGGTGACTGAAAAACAACCAAGACCTTTAACAACTACTCATCTTTCTGAGGTTGAGGAAGGCATTTATTTCATTTTCTGGAGAAACCAAGTGTTGCCTTTTGCAATTCAAGTTACTGTCGTGCACGGCTACTTGTAAGGACACGCAGAACCCAGCAGGGTTCTCTTCTAAGAGGTGCTGAATTAAAAGGATCCCTAAGTCTACAACTAGCCACTTACACCCACATTCACCAAATTCCAACATTTGAAGCTATTTTAACAGTTTCTACATTACACAGTAACAAATGTGTACTGGTGGACTTCCTTAAGACCTGGATCACAGAAGGTTATCCTGTGCTCCACAGCTGAAAAGGACATTTAGTTCTGAAGGGCATTCTACAGAGCATAAACCTAAAAGCCCCACTGGAAGTCATATAAGCCTCCAGGCAACTAGCAGGTTAGTTATGACACTAGGTTGAATGGAGTAGAATTACCAGTATGTGACCTATGTGTCACACACACAACCTGACCAGTTCAAAATGAAGAACTCGAACAATCTGCCAGAGAGCCATTGTAAGGGGAGTTAAAGATATCAAACAAATTAATTACAGCCAACTTAACAGCGATGCTATTTTACGTACAGCAGCTCTGACGACATGCAGTCTGACAGGACCTAACAATTAACAGTTCACTGTAGTGCGAGTCAATGAACAAACCAACCTGGGAGTGTTTTAACATATAGTTTACAGCTTCTTCAAAATATTCCAGGTGGAATTCCTCCATCTCTTTAGGGAGATCTTCATAGCTATAGAAAGCCAGAGCCAGCACAGCAAAGCCATAGTTGGCCAGCAGGCATGCCCTATATTCAGGGAGTCCTCCTCCAGTTCCATACAAGTCAATAATTCCCGGAAAGGGGCCATTTCCTGTGAGAGATCACACAACAAGACACGTTAAGCCACAATTTGTAATTTATATTCCAAAATCGTAGGCCTGGGAATGTGTCTTTAAAAAAAAAAAGACAAAAAAGAGAGTAGCAGGATGGTATCAAAAGCCCTAAACTACTGTGCCAGTTTTCATTAAATGGCTACATTGCTTCAAGATTAAACAACCCAGTACAAATTGGCAGGCCTGCTAATGCTCTGAATAACATCAGGGAACATGTGGCTGGAAGAGAAGGGATCCTTTGATATCCACAACTAGTTCTCTATATCATGTAAATTCACTGAAAAGGTATCAAGCTCTCCTTCAAAAATACCCAGGAATCTTTTCCTTAGTGCACTTCTCAGAAGACTGATCCAAAAAACCTCATCTTTGTTGGTTCCAGCTTCTCAGAGTAAATGTACTAAAGCCATTTATTCTGGGATCAAGATAAGAAAGTATGTGAAACCAGCCTTGTCAACCTGGTAGGGAAGCTTTACACGAGGTTCATCAGGGATCAGGGACTGAAGTCCAGAGCTGAGAGGGATTGCCACAAACTGCTAGCGAAGTATGGAAAGGAGGACGCCAAGAGGGTGACTCCTGTTCCTGCTCAGGAGGGAGGGTTAGGCTTCCCTAGACTAACGCGTAGAAACATTGAGCAATGATCAGGAAGAACTGGAAATTTGGGTTAGGCTTCCCTAGACTAACGCGTATAAACATTGAGCAATGATCAGAAGAACTGGAAATTCACCTCCAGCCTCAAGGCTACAATGCAGTCAGTGTTGGGACAGCATGTATGGTTTTAGCACAATCACGAAGGAGTTACCAGATACTGCAAGGATGAAAAGGGAGAGTGGAAAGCATGTGATCCAAAGAGGAGCTCCTTGAGTATGTGGGGTTCCAGACACATACGTGGTAAAAGCCTCTGGATTGCAGGGGCAGGGAAAGGTGGTGGTGGTGCAGCTACTACAACAGCCAACCAAGAGAATGCAGGAGATGAGGTATCATACAGACAACTAGCAGAAATCTGGACAGCTGCTGGGGGGACAACACAGCATCCGTCAGGCAATCTGAAAACCTCACAGACCCCCTTAATGAGGGTTTTCTGAGAAAAATACTGTAAGGACAAACCTGCCCAATGCTTTCCTTGGTTTTCTGCTCACAAACAGTGATGAATGTGGCAGCAAAAGGCAGCGTGGGCTACAACAACTAGCATATTACTAAGTTCAGAATCTGTGGAGAGGCTGGAAAGTGAAGCAGCAGGCTTAAACTCCACAGTTTAGGAGAGCACTTCCTCAAGGAATACTAGCTGAATCCCTTGGAAAACAGCCAGGTAAAGGTACCTTGAAGGCTGTCTGACACCACCTCCCATGGCATTCGGGAACAAACGGGGTACTGTGACCAATAGGAGCCAGTTAAATAAACTCACATGTCCTTGAGCACGTGCAGCTACTCTACATGAGGAGTGCGGTCAGCAGACCGAAGCTGGCTGGGCTGATCGGGCTGCTCTTTGAGGAGTGCCCAGTGCCAGCTGGCGAGGCCCAGCTCCCCTCTGATGGTAACGGGCTCAAGGACAGCCCGGCGGGCTCTGGCTCCGGCCTGGGGAAGAGCAGAGGCAGCGCCCGCGGGGGAAGGAGCGCGGCGTGGTCAGTACTCACCGGGGGGCAGGAAAAGCGT